CGGAGGAGGGAGGGGGCCCGCCCGCCGCCTAGCTGCTTTTTAACCGTGCCCGCCCCCCGCCGCCCCCCGCGGGGCCCCCTCCCCCCCCCCCCCCCCCCCCCCCACCGCCCGTCCTTTGCATCCTGCCCACTTCATTTGCATCTCTTATATGGCCTAATGGAGAGCATCAAGAGGGAGTAGTAGTAGTAAGGAGGCCCCGCCGTTGCATTTGCACCGCAGAACCCGCCGCAGAAACAGGTGTCAGCCGCGAGAGCTCTCGGGGACTTCCCGTTGCAAGCCGGATCGCGGGGCTTTGGGGGAGGGAGGTTGTGGGGGGGGGGTTTGGTGTGTGTGTGTGGCTTTCCTTCCCCCTTTCCCTATCCTCCCCCTCCCCCTTTTCTTTTTCTGCCTCTGTGTGCGTGTGTGCGTGGCTCTCTCTCTCTCTCTGTCCTGTCCTGTCTGTTTGTCTCTCTTTTACCTTTCCCTCCTTCCCTCCTTCCCTTCCTTCTGGGCTTAAAATGGTGTCCAAACTCAGCGCTTTGCAACACGAGCTCCTCAACGCTCTGCTCGCCTCCGGAGTCACCAAAGAGGTCTTGATTCAAGCTCTGGAGGAACTGATGCCTTCGACCAGCACCAGCGCAAGCAGCACCAACGCTCCGGCGGCCGGAGGTGGCGGCGGCGGCGGCTACGGGGTGAAACTGGAAAACTTGCAGCTGTCGCCCAACGGAGGCGGCGACGGGACGGAGGCGGACAGCAAGCCCGTCTTCCACACCCTGACCAACGGGCACAGCAAAGGCAGGCTGTCGGGGGACGAGGGGTCGGACGACGGGGATGATTTTGACACCCCGCAGATCCTGCGGGAGTTGCAGGCGCTCAACACCGAGGAGGCGGTGGAGCAGAGGGCCGAAGTGGAGAGGATGATCAGGTAAGGGAGGAGAAGGGGGGGCTGCGGGAGAAGGTAGCGCGGTAGAGCCAGTGTGCGCCTCCCCCGCAAGCGCGCGGGGTTCGGGAGAAAGTGATGGGAGGTTGTCCGAAAGGGGGAACGGAACGTTCAGAGTGGAACGTTCGGAATAGAACGTTGGGATAAAAGGAATGGAACGTTCCGGTCACACCGGATAGAATGTTCCGGCCACTGAATGCGCGATCTCGTTTGCAAAAGTGCGTTTTCGCCGCCCTTCTGGCTACCCCTCGCAAAATAATACCGCGGGTGGCTTTTGTTTTGTTTTTAAAAATTATTTTTAAACCGAACAGCCGTTCAGGTTTTGATTCCAAACGTTTTCTCCCCCCCCCCCCACACACACCTTTGCTTTGCGCCTTTCCCTTCAAAGAATGAATGACTCGCTGTGTTTGCGTGCATGTGTAATACAAATGTACACAATTCGTTTACACAACTTTGTCCGCTTGTCTCCTTGTCGTTGTGCTGGGGGAAAGGATGACCGAGCCACGTGAGAGTTTCAATCGATTTTTATCTCTCTCTCTCTCTCTCACTCGCACACCCACAATCAAGGACAAGCGCCAGTTTAAAAAAGAAAAAAGAAAAGTACATAGCGCGGAGATAAATTTCTTTTTCACTGATTAAAATAATCCCAGCAAAACGAAATCAGGGGGGGGGGGTTTGTCTCTCGGGAGCAGCGCAATCCTTTTAAGTATTTACTGGCGAGGAGTTTAGGGATTGCAACTGTCCCCTAAGAGAGAACGTGACCCTTTTCATGTTCCCAAACGATAACACCTGGAGGAGGCTAAATAATAAAATTAAGAATGCAGCAGCGCTAGAAAAGGATCATACTGTTATGATTATTTCTTTGCTTTGTTCTTATTTTCATTTTATTGGACGGGAACAAAAGAGTTTTTGTAAGGAAAAGGCGAAGAACTTGGGGGCAAAGTATAGTTTTGTAGAATTAACACTGAAATCATTTTAGACTAAAATTTAAAGTGGTTCTGCGGAGTTTTTTCGTATGTATGTATGTATGTATATATGTGTATATGTATATGTATATTTGTTTTCTTAAGTTTTCGCGGGTACATGTATGGTATTGAGCTTTGTTCGGGTATTTTCCCACATTATTATAGTTGTGCTTTTAAAGTTGTAGCAACGTTTCGGCAGAATCTGATGATGAATCTGATGATGATGGCAGAATCTGATGATGATGGCAGATGAGATTCTGCCGAAACGTTATATATGTATGTGTGTGTGTGTAAGATAGATATAAATACCTAAGGCTAGAATTTTTCTATTGTTATCTTGAGACAAAAATTCCATTAGAAACTGTCTAAACATTATCTGAGGTAAAGATCATATAAGCGGAAGGGACAGCCTTGGAAACAAGATTTGAAATACAGGCGGGAAATACCTTTTTCCTGTGTCTATCTATGCAGAAATGCATAAAAGTGCCACAGGACAATATTTTATACCAATGAATAAAGTTGGTGGGATAAGCATGTAAATTAAATTCTCCATGCTACGAAACCACTCAAACATGAGCCGAACTGAATTTTGCCGCTTTTGGGGTGTGTGTGTAATAAATTATTCCCCTGCGAGCCCGATCAATCTTGAGACAGGCCAAAAGCAATCGCACCTTATTCTAAGGTTCAGACCTAACACGTGCGAACACGGTTGGTTGCGCTGAGGCTTTGACACGTGTTAATATGTAATGGCCGTACAATTCAGACATCCCTAAAGCTCTTTCAGATGTCAACAGGCCCTGTATTGTCTGTGTGTGTGTGTTTAATTTTGTAATATCCTCCAATGAATGTGTGGTGGTTGCACACTGTCTAGGAACTAATAGCTGGGAGGTGGGTATCAGATGGAAGTTCAAGCCAGCACTATCTTTTTCGTTCAAATAACTGTTAAAAGTATAAAACCAAGGGAGAATTAGTTTGCAGGGACCTTGGCGCCCTCTGAGCTTGGTTGTTTTCTTGCAGAAGTTTCCTTACCCGAACTAGGTAACTTCATCAGTAGTATAACATAATGAGAGCAAATCCCACTCCCTTCTATCACTGATGATGTTACCTAGTTGGGTAATGAAACGTCTGCAAGGAAACAACCAAGCCCAGTGAGCACCAAGGACCCCTCATTTCAAGCCTGAGTTACAATTATTCTCCTTTATTGAAGTTAGTTTCCATTCCCACACGATCCGATCCCGTTTAACGGAACCATGGGCTTACCTGATGTAAAAATAATAAATAAAATTACATTGATATAAATTGCAGTGCTGGGGAAAAAGGGTGGGGGGGGGGGGGTAACTTCCAAGGAACATGTTGAGGGCAGAGTCATTCAAACGCCATATATGTTAATTCTCTCCCCTCCTTCCCAAATATCACCTCCAGTCAAGATGCCAAGAATCTTTGTGTCCAGAGTATTAGTAATAGTAGTACCGTAGTAAGTATAAGTAATATCCGTTACCTATCAATTTCTAAAGATAGGCTTTGTGGAGAGAAAGGTGTGAATTTGATGAAAAGGAATCTAGCAATAATTAACTCCAGGTAAATCTTTTCACTTCCTAAGAATATTTTCTCCCTCCTTCTAATACCTTTTGTCCAGTAAAAACTTTCATCAGCTGTTGATTCACCAATACCAAAATACCTTTTTTTTTTGGTTCGTTGAGGTCCTAAACATGTGTGTCCCGCGCCTGTGTGTGTGTGTGTGTGTAAAAATGCCAGCGCACACGCACCTTACATACGTGTCTTCCAACTTAAGAGTCGAGCGGCTTTTGACAAGTTGGTTACTAATTATCCCCCGTCCTTTTACGGCGCTTTTCCACCCGTCCTTCCCTCCTTTTTAGCAAAATATCAACTAAATAAACTGCTATTTATTAACCTGCCGCTCAGTTTAAAGTCAGGCTGGGGGTTTTAATTCTGTTTCTTCTCAAGTCAGTTTTATAGGAAGCCACCGGTTCAAAAATGGAGTTTTGGGGGGCCTTTTTTTTTTTTTTTTTTTGGTGTTTTTTGCGAAAACGAAAGGTAACTTTTTACGTCTCCCTTAGAAGATAAACGTTTCCAGGTGGATCCTATTTACGGAAAGCGCTGATTAAAATAACGATTGGGGTAAGAAGATCGCAGAGCGAATCTCTCTTCCAAATTTTTCCCATTAAGGAAATAAAAATAGAAAGCTTAGAGAGGTTTTAGGATTTTGCCCATTTAGGAGAAATTAAATGCTTTTGAAATAAAGAAAGGCTTAACTTTTCAAGAAGGGTGCCGAATTCGGACTAAAAGTGGTTTTTAAACCTTACGAGTCTGTGAGAAATATCTGATTGTTTTCCGAGTTCGCTCACAGAAACTAGTTTGCAATCGGGAGGGAGGATTATTTTTCCAAGGGGGGGGGATTGTTTAGGATCGAAACTAGCTTTTATTTAGGTACATTTCCATATTTCTTAAGCGCCCATCTCCTTCGTTCTTGGGCCTTTTTCCTATCGAGTTTGCTTTTCGGGACTTGGCGAACCCCAAAATTTCGATTTGGGGAATGAGGGGCGCTTCAACGGACAAAGCCGGGCAAGATCGGGAGTCTGGAGAAAAGGAGAAGCGGGCGAAAAACTATTCGGGAGTTTTTGTTTGTTTTTTCTCGGCGCGGCGCCTGGGGGACTCTGCTTGCCACCGCGATCCTGTCGCGGGCCTTGAACAGGCTGGCTTCGAGGGCTTTCGATTTAGGGATTCCCCCAGTCCAGAGCCAACCGAAGGAAGGCGCCGAGTTTAAGGGTGCCAGTCTCTCCGCTGTTCCTATTCAGCGCGGTGCGACCGGAGGCCCGCGGCCGTCGGAATTGAACTCACAGCCTGGGCATAAAGAGTGGCCTTCTGAATGGCTTAGGGTCGGCTTTGCCCAACACCTGCCAATCTCCCAGGTCCTTGGGAAGGACTTGAGAGGTGGATTAAAAAAAAAACCGAAAAAAGCCAAATCCACCTCGACTGCGCGACGAGCCGTAATAATCTCATTCTTATTCCTTGGTGCTCTCTGAGTTTAGTTGTTTTCTTGCAGAAGTTTCGTTACCTAAACTAGGTAGCATCATCAGTGCTACCCTATTTTGGGTAATGAACTGTCTGCCAGGGAACAAATAAACCGAGAGCACCGAGGGTACATTTCAACTCGGAGGCACAAATATTCCCCTTTATTGGTATTCCTTCTCCATCTGTTCTGAAGGGCTGTAGAAATATTTAGAATTAGTTATTTTGTTCAAAACCGGTTCTCCTTCAACAACTCTCTCTCTCTCTCTCTCTCTCTCTCTCTCTCTCTCTCTCTCTTTCTCTCTCTCTCTCTTATTCCCTCCCTCCCTCCCTCCCTCTCTCATTCTCTCTCTCTGTCCCACTCTTATACCCTCTCTCTTATTCTCTCTCTCTCATTCTCTCTCATTCTCTCTTCTCTCTCTCTCTGCCCCACTCTTATTCTCTCTTATTCTCTCTCTCATTCTCTCTCTCTCTCTCCCCCCTCCCTCCCTCCCTCTCTCTCTCATTCTCTCTCTCTGTCCCACTCATACTCTCTTATTCTCTCTCTCTCATTCTCTCTCATTCTCTCTTCTCTCTCTCTCTGCCCCACTCTTATTCTCTCTTATTCTCTCTCTCATTCTCTCTCTCTCTCCCCTCCCTCCCTCCCTCCCTCTCTCTCTCATTCTCTCTCTCTCTGTCCCACTCATACTCTCTTATTCTCTCTCTCATTCTCTCTCTTTCTCTCTTATTCTCTCTCTCTCTCTCTGCCCCACTCTTATTCTCTCTCTTATTCTCTCTCTCTCTCTGCCCCACTCTTATTCTCTCTCTCTCTTATTCTCTCTCTCTTTGCCCCACTCTCTCTCACTGTGTCTGTCTGTCTGAAATCGCAGTTTATTCAGTGGAGACGGCCTAATCGTTAAAAGTTAGATAAAACTTTTTCCCGGAGGGGGAGTGATTGATCTGATTTTAACGCACCGAAGTCCTTCGTTCGAGGCGAAGAGCAGAAGAGAGAATTACAAATAAATAAAGAACATCAAGTAAGCGCCCTTCTCAATCCGGTTTCCCCCGGATTAGCCCAAACGGAGTGAGGGCACGGACTGTATATAAATCGCCTGGAAGGGCCCCTTGAAATTATCTAGGACTTCCTAAGTGGAAAACTTCTGAAAAGAACCCCCCCCTCCCGCCATACAAACACACACACTTCTAATTTCCTCCGTTTACACTGTCCCCTTACATTTAAAAGTTTGAAAAAAAAACATCATCCCCAATACGACTTCAAGGCGACTCCGATCCGTCACATATTTCGGGATGGAATAATTGGAGAAACCTCTGGGTGGTTTTGGACTACAGCACCCATCCGCCCCTACCGATGCAATCCGTGGCGAGGTGGGAAGGGCCCCGCTAAGTAATGCAAAGAATCTGGAAACCTCGCTTCATTTTCCCCTGTGGTTTTTAACTCAATGAGGTTTGATTTCTGAATTAGAAGTAGCAATGTCCGGGTGCAAAACTTTTTTTTTTTTTTTTGCTTGTG